CTTTCGTAGACATAAAACAATAAAATGCAAATCAGAGTTAAGATAAATGAACTAATCAATCTTTTGCAACTACATTCCAACTCTATTATACATCGTCATTTTTAAAATGCTGTACTGGATGACTTCTTATATTTGAAAAGTATTCATATTGATGCAGATTGCATACAATAGTATTCATTATCCTTTACAATTCAATTCTAATGGTTGGAAGCAAAAATAGATTCCTTTCTATTTACTTATTCTTAATGATTCTTCTACGGAATTAATTTTTGATGTATTTTATTCTCGTCATTATAATAATCCGCTTATTAATGAGTTTGAATGAGTTTTTAAATAACACGATTAACAATTAGTAGATATGCTGAATGATAATGATGCCGGATGTGTAAAATATTAATGAAGGAAAAAAAACAGGAAACAGAAAAGTAAGAAATGAGTTCCATTAGTAATCTATCATTGCTTGTCCATTTCAACATTACATTCTTGTTTAGTACGTCGTATTTATTATCAAAAGAAATCCATTTGAACTCTCATTCTGAAAATGTCAAATAATAATGAAACAATGGCATATATTACTAAACTTCAGTCTATATCTGGACAAATTACTTTCTCCATGTCACTCATTATTCTTCTTTCTGGTATTATTGGAAATCTACTCAATTGTTTAGTATTTGCTCAACGATCTCTTCGAACTAAACCATGTGTTGGGTATTTTTTTGTGGCTAGTATTTTAAATTTAATTGCTATTTTTTCTGGAGTTACACCACGTGCATTCCAAAGTTTCTTTTCAATACCAGATCAAACACTAACAGTCTCTGTTTTGTGTAAACTTCAGTTATTTGTTGTTTTCTCTGCACGTACAATATCATCATGGCTTATCGTTCTTGCTTCTATTGATCGATATTTGATTTCTAGTCCTGATGTCGTTTTACGTCGTATGAGCAATTTGAAAAATACTTATTTTTCGATTTTAATTGTTAGTATTATTTCATTTTTATTTTGGTCGGAAACTGGCTATTGTTTTGATGCTAATCTAATAGGAACACCACAGAAATGTTATGCAAAATCAGATGCATGTCGTATTTTCAATGATCTTGCTCAATCTTTTATCACAACAATTATTCCCTCAACAATAATGTTCGTAGTTGGTTTGTTTACGATACGTAATGTTCGAAAATCTCAACAAATAGGTGTTTTACCAATTACTATCGTTAATCAGAATACTGGAATAACTAGAAGAAACGAACAAAGTCTAACTATTATGTTAATTGCACAAGTTATTCTTTTAACTATATTTACTCTTCCTCAAGCTGGACAAAAATTTTACTCAACATATTCATTTTATCAAACAAAAACAAGCAGTCAACGAGCCTTGGAAAGCCTTCTGTTTAACTTTGTTCTTCTTTTCGGCTTTATTTCAAGTTGTATGCCGTTCTATATATATACTATTACTGGTACTTTATTCCGCAAAACTCTATT